TTTTTTTGGGGGGACAAACTTTTTTAACAAACAATCTTATATACGCCGTCATTTCGTAGCTTTCTCTCCTAAAATCTTGAATTTCAAATTGAAAGGGATAAAAGGGTGGCTATTGCCTATTGGGCAAGAATTTTGAACTTACTGGAAAAAAAAAGGAAAAAAAAAAAAAAAACAGAAACATAAAGAGCACGAGGTTCCGTTTTGATCAATGGCGAAAATGTTCGCCGCACACAATCTTCCGGCGGACGTGAATCAAGTGGTGGATCAGCTGGAGCGCCACTGTTTGGCCCCCGATGGATCTCTCATTTCCAAATCCACCTACTACGATCTTCAACTCGTACTATCCATTCATCCAACCCATTCAGTTTATGTTCTTTCTAGTTTACCATGGCGTAATTACAATAGATTCTTGCTTGATTAACTTACTATGCAGGCCAGAGAAGAAATGTGCAAAGAGAGGCAGCGTTACCTGGAAACCCTGGTACGTTTACTGACTTGATTCGCTTCTTGGGTTCAATGTGTAACGTGTTGGTTTAAGTTGGGTAGGTTGGGATTAATGTCAGAATACATTTATAGGCAGTGTACATCGAGATGATGGCGATGGTGGAGGAGTATCAGCAGGCCATTTCCGTGGCTAATATGGGTGGCATCCCTGATGTTCAGGGTCTTTATCCGAAGCTCGGCTTGAAAAACCCACCGCAGGTCCTGAATTTATGTTAATTGTCCTGTAATTCATGAATTAGGGTTTTTTTCTAGAAAAGTTCAGATGATTAGAACGAAAATTGGATGCTTCATGGGGAGATGAACAACTTTGGATATCATTGTTGGTTTCGTAGTTAAAAATAAAATGATAGAAAAGCAAATGAGTTTTCCTTTTTCAGGTTTATGAGGCCCTAGAGCATAGAATGATGGTTGCAGAAGCTGCTCAAAGATTGAGGCTTCCAATGATTTCCAAAGATGGTGAGATTCATGAGGAAGAAATCGAAAAATTGAGTATTGTGTCAAGGAGCTCATTTGATAGCACAAGTAGTGTCACAATGAGCTCGAGCACATATTCTACAAATTTTACAAACTTATCTGGGCCGGGAGCTGGGTCTCTTGGTAATACTCCTTTCTCTTCTGGGGGAACTGATGCATCTGAAACTGAAGTTGGTGGTGTCCCAAATAGGTTTCTTGGGATAACACCAACCTATTTATGGCAAACACAGCTTCAGCGAACGCCTCTATCCATGGTATAGAACGATTCATTTTTACGATAAAATGTGTGCATGCAGTTTATGAGAGTCTGAAATTATTGAAAAGGCTTCGTATGAAAATTAAGAAGTGGGCAAGTGATTGAATTGGCTTCGTATGAAAATTAAGAAGTGGGCAAGTGTACAAGTGCTGAAATTTTATCATTGTTACTGGACAGAACCTAATATTTAACTTTCTGACAATGTAGGACATGACTGAATATCAGGTGTCTCTTGCCCGTGAGATTGCAGGTCGGTTGGACGCTAAATGTGAAAAGTTAGGAGATGCAGTTATCATAGATGACTTTGGTCAGTTCTTATTTTTCATATTTCGACCCTATTCATTAACTTGACATGTTATGAATTATGATGGTGTTGCTTGCTTTCACTTGCTTCACACGTGCATAGTTATGCATGCCCAAACAGATGTTTGGTGCTTTCAGTTACATACCATCATTTTGTAGTCTGCCACCTTTGAACTCTAGGAGCATTTACACTAGCTCCGTAGCTGTTGATTTTTTTACAAGCAGATTAAATTTTACATTATTGATTGATGTAATTAGTTTATTTTCTTCCTTTGTTTTTTTTTTTTTTTTTGTTTTTTTTCCTTTTCAGAATCATCAACCGGTCACCAGACTCTGACTTCCCGACTTCCAGAGAGGTCTCTCTTACTTGAAACTGTACACTATATTATGTCTTTTAGGATTTGCATAACCAAGGATTTGAACTTACCCTTCTAAATTTGGTTTTAAGCTTGAACTCTCTGGACTGATGCTATTCAAATGATTTCATTTATTTTTGTAAATGCTGTTCCTGTACTTTCCAGTATTTCTTTCTTTGCCTTTTAATGTCAATTGTGAGGATTTATAACTAGAATACAGAGAATGTTTTCTTCATTTTTTCTTTTTTATTTGAATTACCTTAAATTCACTCTGACAGGGAGCTGCTTGTAGCTAATAGGTTATAAAAACTTTGATTGTTATTCTGTTGACATTGAAGTTTAAACATGTATGTGATGGTTATGGAAATTTGTCAAATTTTCCCAGTAGAATTTGGTTAACTTAGCTCTGACATTTTGGGTATGTTTGGTAAGCCAAATAAGCTAGCTTATAGCTTATTTGGTTAGCTTATAAGCTCCCTATATTAAAATAAGTCTCGTTTGGTAGGACGAGCTTTAAAAAGCTCGAGCTTATCCCATAAGCTACTTTAGGTAGCTTTTCAAATAAGCTAGTTGAATTTTTATATTTCAGCTAGCTTATCAGCTAATTTACCAAACACTTTTATCATATAAGCTAGCTTTTCAGCTATAAGTCATAAACTATAAGCTATAAGCTCAAAAATTACATATAAGCTATAAGCTAGCTTATCAGCTATCAGCTAGCTTATCAGGTAGTTTTACCAAACATAGCCTTTGTCTTAGTTCATTAACTTCGTAAGATTGGTACACTGGGACCTGTTTCTACTTGAGAAATTGTAATCTGGCTAGAGATTGTTGGGTCCAACTGAAACTTCACTGAGATGCGTAAAGATTTGAGGAAATGGATCACCTACATGAGTGGTAGGGTATCATATTTCTTCTAAAAAGAAAGAGAAAATATTAAAGAGAAAACATTTGCAAGAGGAGGTCAGACAACTCAATTAGTGAGCTAAGAAAGATATATTGTCTGGATCTAGCATAGGGTTCCGATAGTTCCTTCGATGATTCCAATATCTGAATTCACAAGAATGAGTGATTACTTCTTAACTGTGATGTTAGTATATGGAAATTTATTTTAATGGTTAACTATTCTTGGAAAAGAAAGAGAAAATATTAAAGAGAAAACATTTGCAAGAGGAGGTCAGATAACTCAATTAGTGAGCTAACAAAGATATATTGTCTGGATCTAGCAGAGGGTCCCGATAGTTCCTTCGATGATTCCAATATCTGAATTCACAAGAATGAGTGATTGCTACTTAAATGTGATGTTAGTATATGAAAATTCATTTTAATGGTTAACTGTTCTTACAGTTTTGTGTTCATATACAACAGGGTGAAATTGATTATTGAGGAGATTGAAAGAGAAGAATTGGCATGGAGGGAGGACCTGTATTCTTCTGATAGAAAATTTGCTGAGTACTATAATGTAAGCAGGATTCTGTGTGATCTTCTGATGATGCATTATTAATAAGTGACTTTTTTTCCTGGTCAAGTATCCAGTTGACTTGTGGAGTTGTGATGTTTACGTTTGGATTTTATGACTAAATTTGATTTTGTCCATCCAAGGTTTTGGAGCAGATTCTTGCTGTCCTCATAAAGCTTGTCAAAGATGTAAAACTCCGTCATCAACATAAATATGTAAGTCTCTTAATGTCAGTTGAGATAAACTGGGCTTGGCTCATCATAATTGGTCTTAATAGTTAGTTCCTAACAAAGACCATGCTTTTTTAGGATGAACTACAGAAGACTTGGCTATGCAAAAGATGTGAGACAATGAGTGCCAAATTAAGGTTTGTTTTTTCCCGCTGCTGACCTTGTTCATGGTGTTGAACATCAATCGGGAAGCCGTTTTCTGAATTTTCTGAATATGATGTGGCTAACAATATTATTTGATTTACATTGGTTTTGAAGAGTTCTAGAACATATTCTACTTCTTGAAACCTACACCATGGACACTATTCCAGCTCTCCACAGAATTAGGTAAATAAGCATACAGTACCTTCTGATATACAGTTTACTTTCCAGGTGATAATACTGCCAACGTTTTTTCCATAGGAAATATCTGGTTGAGTCAACAGAAGAAGCTTCTCTTGCATATAATAAAGCGGTAAAACTTCTTTGCTCTTGTTTTGTCTGTTTCCTCAACGTCTTATGCTCTTATACTAATTGTTTGTGGAGTTGAAGTCCTCGTTATGGCCTCGGAACCTGAAATAACCAGCAAATTACAGTTGACTTTCAAAGCTTAGAGTTAAATGTAATAGATTATGATTACTATACATGAAATATACATTAATTAATAACTTAAAAAAATAAAAATCACGTTAAAACTAACACAATAGTTACAGATATATTATATTTTGGGCAATCCTTCTATTTGACCACAATAATTAGTATGTTCTATATAATGTAACTTGTGAATAATGTATGATATAAATATAAACCTAGTCCCTTAGCCCCTAGCTCGTCAGCCAAGCAACCTTTGGGTGTTCTGTGGCATGAATGAATTAGTAAAACATAGTGAGAATCTAGACAAATGTGATTCAGCAGATATGATCATTCGTGACTTCCGAAGTGTCTATAAGACACTTTTTCTTCACTTTTCAACTTGCATCAACTTTACACCACTTCGATTTGTATTTCGGGAAGAAACAACGTAATATTTAATAGTGAATATGAGTCATGTTTTAAAGTATGAAGTTCTAGTTGATGTTGATATCCATTGGTTAGTCATTTTTTAATATCAACTTTACACCTCATCCTTTCGTTTTCGTTTTCGAGAGAGGAAATTGTACTTCAAACAATCTAAAGTATCATTACATTGTAGGACTCTAATTATTTAGAATGAATTCTAATGTCGAGTTTATTTATTGGAAAATTGTACTTCAAACAATCTAAAGTATCTTACATTGTAGGACTCTAATTATTTAGAATGAATTCTAATGTCGAGTTTATTTATTGATCAGGTTACACGACTTCGTGAGTATCAAGGTGTTGATCCCCACTTTGATAACATTGCCAGGCAATACCACGAGATAGTTAAGGTAAAACTCATAAATTTTAATTAGAAACTGCTTGCTTGGCCTGGCTCTTAAGTCTTACCCCAGATTTTTGGTGCAGAAATTGGAAAATATGCAGTGGACCATTCACCAAGTGGAAATGGACCTCAAGAAGATGCCTGATCATTCTACCACATAAACCATCTGCACGATGACTCGACACTTTCTGTTTTGATGGTCTTAAGACACTCAGTAACATCTGTGTAAATAACTGCATGATATTGGTCAATTTTTACCACCATTAACTGGTGATTCTAGTGTTCATTTCATCGTGTTCGACTCTGTTACTTCATGGATATTGCCAATGTCCTCCAATGATATTAACCTCAAAGTTCAGTGCAAGGCTCTCTCTCTCTCTCTCTCACTCATAATGAAGTCAATGCTCTTTAACAAAGCCAATATTGCAAAAAGAATGCAGCCTTGTTCATATAATGTGAAAGTCAAAACGGATTCAGATGAAACATGCATGAATGATCGGACTAGATGAAATGAATGATCGGATTCAGATGAAACACCCATGAATGATCAGCTTGCGCTGAAAAAAAAAATAAAAAAAATCCCATAAGAGCATATTATAAGGGGATTTGATATAATATACAAAAAATAGATTGGAAAAATAATGAATCACAGATATTGTGTGAGAGAAGTAAAAATAATGAATCACGGCTATTGTGTGAGAAATGTAAAGGAACAGGTTGTTGTCCGTAGCCTAGAAAAGCTTTCCTTGCTGTTGGGTTCCAGTTCTCATCATGCTGCAGAACTCTTCATAATTAATCCTTCCATCCTGCAAAAAAAAAAAAAAAAAAAAAAAAAAAAAAAAAAAAAAAAAAAAAATCCTTAGAGAAACTAACAAAGAAAAAATAACTAATGTTAAGATATATCTATGGCGAACCGACTCACGTGATCGGTGTCAACTTCAGATATTATTTCTCTTATAGTTGATGGGTCACCCATTCCGTGTTCTTGCATTGCCGTCTCAAGCTCATCTCTTGTTATGAACCTGCACAAGTGATTATCAATTACAATTTAACAATTCATAACCAAGTTCTAAAATTAAAAATAATTTTAGAACTTCGAATTTTGGACTCTTTGACTTAAGATTTGGACTTTATAAGTACGACTCATTGTCATTCTAAATGGGGCACTTCGAATTTCTGAAGGTTCGTTCAGTACTTACCCACTGCTATCCTTGTCAAAATAATGGAATGCTTTGTAAAGGTTTTCCTCCCTTTCTAATCTGTGCCTGTGCATTGTAGCAGTGATGAACTCAATGTAGTCTATTGTCCCATTCCCATCAACGTCAGCCTGTAATCGACATAATGGTGGTTATAGTTACGAGTATACCCTTATTGCCTTGTGAACGTATAAGAAAATTATAAGAGGATAAAAGTGTTTTAGAGCAGAAGTATATCATACAGCATCCATTAGCTGCCTAGCTTCAGCTTCGGTGAGCTTTGATCCAAGATTAGCCAAACCAACTTTAAGTTCTTCGTAAGTGATGGTTCCATTTTTGTCCGTGTCCATATTTGTGAACATTGCTTTTAGCCCTTGAATTTCTTCAGCAGAAAGATTTTCTGCAATTACCTAGAATTGATAGCAGAAACACCACTACAGTCAAGATAAGGGCTTTCAATAAACATCCAATGTAGAAGGTTGCATTTTTTTTTTTTATACTTCTCACAACAGATAATAACGACATAATTAATTAGAAAAATAATTCAGAATTACCCAATGTGCATAAATAATTGTTGTTCTCGCAACATAAATTCTATTAAGTGAATATATACAAACATGAAGACCTACAAATCTAGGGGGATACCTTGAGTGCAAGTTTTTTGAGCTTGTTCATTGCTCTGAACTGCTTCATCCTAGAAAGAACTGCACCGTCGAGTGGCTTATCAGATGCTTCCTCACCTTTAATCCAAGGATGCTCTGTGGAAGCCAAAAATCAGAAAGTTTGAGTATTTTAACTCTTAAGCGAAACTGTGGTGTTCATTTGTTCAAATATGAAAATAAGTAAGTATATCAACCGAAAGAACATAAAAGATTATCAGCAATAATATCTATGCACATACAACACTTATGCAGACATTGTTCTGTTTACAAGAAGACAAGTGTGATACATAAGATAACAAGGTTTCATAGTTCTGCAAACAAAAAAGTTACAAGCACATTGAAAAGGTGTTTAAATAATTCCTATCCATGTTTTTTTCGTGCATGAAACACAAAAACATGCTTACTCCTTGTATGGAATGAATGAATGCCGAACAAAACAAAACATGTAGATGGATCATGCAAACATAGCAGGACTTGTCGATCTGAAAAATGTACAGTTGTCCATTTAACAAATAAATGATTCGATCCTGATTCATATAGTTAACTAATCATGACAGTTGAACAAAAACATACACTTCTATAGTTTCTTAAAACTGTGAAAGCCTTCTCTTCATTTTTGTTTAGAAACTAAGTAATGAATGAGTTTTCAAAATTATTCGATGTGATGATATTTTCCAGAAAAAACTGCATACCAAGAACAGCCGCAGCTGTAATTCGCTTCTTTGGGTCCTGCGTAAGCATTTTAGCAACAAGGTCCTTGGCACTGTGTGATATTGATGGCCAAGGCTCAGTTGAAAAATCCAAATCTCCTTTTAGAATGGCGTCAAATATTCCCCGCTCAGTCTCTAAAATATCAGTTTTTATCTTGAGCTGTTAAAATGCGAAACGTCAAGGCGGAACACAATATTTACATAAGTATAATTTTTACTTACCCCCCCAAAAAGGAGGTACACCACTGAGTAATATGTATAGCATGACTCCAGCACTCCAAACATCAGCTTCTTTCCCATATGCACGTCGTAAAACTTCGGGAGCAACATAATATGCACTGCCAACTAAGTCCTTGTATACCTTCCCTGCAGAGGTTGAACAACAGGGGAAAGAGTCGATTATGCACATTTTCCCATTCGGCAGTGTCCACTGGCCACCCATTTAAACAAATCGACATATAGTACAGACCAAACCACTGATCATCAGGTAATCTACCAAAAGTGACATGATTTGCCGAATTATTACGGTTGCTATTAGAAAGAACAATGACCATATATGGCGCATTACGCGAAGAGACAGTACAAAGCTGATCAAGAAACCACTTCAGAAGATTGTTTAAACACCTTTATTTGAAAAAAAAAGAGAACAAAAGAAATAAAGAGAAAGAAAGGACTTACCTTCCTCGATAAAAACCGACAGCCCAAAATCCGTGGCCTTGAGCAGCGCACCCTCGCTCTTGTCTGACAGCAAGAAATTCTCAGGCTTGAGATCTCGGTGCATCACCCCCATAAAATGGCAAATCTGGATGACGCTCACAATAGACCCACAAATGGAGGCCGCCGCCTTCTCACTGTAATGCCCCTTGGCGATAATCCGATCGAAAAGCTCCCCTCCCGCGCAGAGCTCCATGACGAGGTGGACCGACTGCCGGTCCTCGTACGCGCCCTTGAACTCCACGATGTTGGGCTGCCCGCTCAGGTGCTGCATGATCTGGACCTCCCTCCTCATGTCCTCCTTGTCGCCCTTGGTCACGAGCTTCCTCTTGGAGATGGACTTGCAGGCGTACTGCCGCCCGCTCGCGATCTCGGTGCACAGGTGCGTCACCCCGAACTGCCCCCGGCCCAGCTCCTTGCCCAGATTGTAGTGCGCCCGGACGTCCTCGTACGGCTTCCCGAGGATCGTGTGGGCCGGCGGCCGGGCCGGAGGACCCAATTGGCCGGCGGCGAAGCCGGGGGACATCGTGTACTGGATTGGGGTTTGGTGATGGTGGTGGGCCGCCCCATTTCCGTTCCGGGCGGCGTTTGATTTCTCGTGCTTCTGATTGCTCAAGCAGATTCCCATTTTCTTTTTTTCTCTCTCTACAATCTACTCTGCAATAAACTCAGCCAAAAAACGAAGATGAATGATTCTGAACACATACATATAAACATATAAATCTATGCAGCCAAAAGGGAAGCTCGATTGATGGGTTTGAAGAGAAAATGTGATTTTTGAGCTGAATTTATGGGGAGAGGACGAATATTTTGTCGTCCGAAATGCAGGATGAACTGCGTCAGGGGATTTGATATTTTCTTGAGTTGAATGATTCTAAACAGGACTACCAAACAGCGGATTAGTATCTGGAGGAGATGACGACGCTGCTAAACTCGTAGTATAATTTAATGTTTTTCTTATTATAAGGGAAACGTGCACGCCAATATCTCAACTCAAGTTTAAATATAAAAAAAAAAAAAAAA